TAAGCAAGAGTACTTTAATTGTAGCACGGAAATTGAATTTCAACGACCTTCGGTACTTAATGTGTGCGTAACATCAAATATAACAAGATGAAATAAGATCTTAAACATATTGGATCAACAACAATTGTTAAAAGGTTAATAGCTTCCGAAATGAGGAGTAGAAAGGGTGAGATAAACGTCATCACGGAGAATGACGTTGAGGAGTGGAATTGTGGTCTACCTATGAGGCCAATAAGATATTTATGTTTAGAAAACAATTAGTACATCCAGTAAATAATATCCAGAAATATTAAAGGTTAGTTTTTAATTACGTTAAAATAAAATTCATTCCAACGATGGCGGACGTTACAATAATAAACGCTGTCGATTCGATTAGATCGATTCATCAATGTTCTTTCAGACATAACGGTAAAAATAATATAGATCAAGCAAACATTATGCTCCGTACTAGTTGATGACGTCATTATAACGGCAATCTTGATGACGAAATGGTAATACGATTGTGATAGTTTGCCGCAAACTATTGTTTGATGATTTTTTGCTCGCACCAGACGTCAAGGCTATTTTACAACATACCTATAGAATGTAATGTTTCTGAAATCAAAATTATATATGAACTTCTTATATTTATTTGGTTTTCTATAGACAATTTCATTATCAGCTCACTCTGAGTCCCCACTGAGGCGCTCGTAGCCTACCCTAAGTTAAGGGCAACTAGGCTTTAGTCAACCACACCGTGCCAGTTCGGGTTGGTTGACTTCAAACATATCTTTGAATTTCTTCAGGTGCAGGTTGCATCACGATGTTTTCCTTCACCGTAAGAACGTCGGATAAATGTACATATGTAAATCGGAAATCGAAAAACACATTGGTACATGGCGGAATTCGAACCCAGGACTTGCAGATTGCAAGTCAAGTTTTGAAACCCCTGAGCCACCGACGCACTATAGATAATTTGCCAAGATTAATCCATTGTGCAACAATTTTGTATCAATGGCAGTGAAACAAGTCAATGACTCTGATATAAGGAAAATGTGTACCCACGTGCATACGTGGCCGGGCAATTGTGGAAAGCTATTTGGGAATATTCCCAAAATTTGCAATATCCGTTTATAAATATTTGATGAGAGACCGCGCTCTCGCCGCGACGACCTAATTTCGTATGATTCTTGAATATTGCGTCGTCCACACGACACTTATTTTTATCTTTGGAGCTATTAAAACTATAATCGCTCCGAATAGTATTTGAAATATTATGAATCAATCCTAAAACACATATCGAGATTACAATATTTACACTTATCACGTGCAAGTTTTTTTATTACGTTCCGTATAATTGAAAATGATTATTGGAAAAAAGGTAAATCGATCATGAAAAATGATGAAAATAAATTTTAAAATGTGCAAATGTGTGCCTTTATTTACTACTACTAGCTGTCGCCCAACTCTGTCCGCGTGGAATTAAAAAAAAACTCCATTAGTTTTTTTAGGATTTTGGTCTCAAAAACCTACTATTAGTTTCCTAAAAACAGGAATGACCATATATTTTTGCACACGTGTTTTGGCAGTGAAATCCGACTGTAACAAGGATCGTCTGTTTCAAATTCCCGTGACACTTGGCCAGAGGTCGAGAGGTTGACCTCTGGCGTGGTATGCATTGACACGACAAATAAAGAAACAACGCATTTACGATTACACATCGATTATCTAACAAAACAAGAAACATAAAGAAAAGCAAACTATTTATTTTAGTCTTGGATTGAATTTTATTTACTTGCAATTTCCTCAAAATTTTAACAATTAGTCCTAAGTACAGATATAGGAAATCTGTAAGGAAAATTAAAGTGTAACATATTCTTCGGCGTAATTACACGATCTAAATATATGGCATCGCAAATTGAATCAAGAAAGCTTCACTAATACTCTAAGGTAAAGACAATATTGTGATTTGAAACATAACCTTGTTGATACTTCTGGTTACGACTTGATCAGCCTTGCTACATGAATCTAGTGCGACAAACTAGCGCTTATTAGACACATTGTAACTACGACATTAAGCTATATTTTTTAAGATTAAAAAAAATGACAGACGTAACAGTGAGATTTTAATCAGCAACATAAGACATCGTTATAATTAACTAGCTGTCCCTCACGACTCCGTCCGCACGGAATTGAAAAAAAGCTTAATTAGTAACGTATGTGTTCCTTCAGACTATGTTCTACATCTATGCCAAATTTTAACAAAGTTCATGCCGCCAATTTGGAGATATTTTCAAACCAATAGCAATACATCCATCTACAAATTCGCATTTATAATATTAGTAAGAAGTAAGATTTGAAATTTATCGCTAATATGTATAATTTATTTTAGAGGTTGCTGACATTCATTGATTAATGACTAAGTTTTAGGTTTTTCAACGCGAATTCCATCTTTTTAGCGCATACATGTAAGCATTCGTGTATGCAGTATATTCTTTAAAAAAAAATATTAAAACTAAAATCTTACTAATATTACAAATGTGAATGTTTAGATGGATGGAAGGATGTTTCTTTGAAGGTATCTCCGGAACGGCTCAACCGATCTGGCTGAAATATGGTATAGATGTAGAACATCTGGAAGAACACATAGGCTACTTAATAAGATTTTTTTTGATTCCGCTTGAACGGAGTTACTGGCGACAGCTAGTGTACTATAAAAAAATCATTGAGCTAGACAACCGTGAAACATAACCCGATAGACTTGAGTACTGTGTTTATGTTAGGCTTGTATTCTAGGAATGTGGGTCGTATCCGATGTCGAAGTGCCGCGGCTTGCGCCGACTTGCATAACACCGACGGCAATCGAAACACTTTCAATGACACCGGATTCGTCGCGAAGCTACCGCAATGAATTATTTCATTTCACATCTAAATAAGATTTCGTCTTTATCTTAACAATTTATTACTATATATAAACTTTCGTTATATTCTCTTACTAATATTATAAATGCGAAAGTTTCCATTTTGTTATTACGTATCTTCAAAACGGTTGAACGAATGTCGATTAAATTTGGCACATATGTAGAACAAAGTCTGGAAGAACGTATAGGTAAATAACTCTTTTTTACTAATTACACGCGGACAAAGTCACAGGCAAAAGGAATAGTATATTTTTGTAATGAACATATGTACCCTACATGCCACTTAATGTTATTTTTATATTATTTTTTCACGAGAATACTTGATCAAAAGACTTGTATCTAGTTCGGGATTTAGAATGGATTCTAGTCTAAGACAAAAAATATTCACTTCCAACAAATTCGATCTGGTTTTTTAATTGTCTTACCTATTGTGTGTTTAATATTAGCTATACGTTGAACGTTTTTAAACTCTCAACAAAAAACTTGTTGCAATAATAGTAAATACAGTGTGTTTTCTGTAGTTTGGTAAAAAAAAAACTAAAACAACCAAACTCAAATTACTATCAAAACAAACATTATTATTGTAATACTAATTATATAAATGTGCATAAAATCATACTAATATTATAAATGCGAATGTTTAGATGGATGTTTGTTTGAAGGTATCTCCAGAACGACTCAACAGATCTTGAGGAAATTTGGCACATATGTAGAACATAGTCTGGAAGAACACATAGGCTACTCATTTAGTTTTTATTTAATTCAGCGCGGACGGAGTCTCGGGCGTCAGCTAGTACGTACTTAATATAATAATTAAAAATGTTATATATTATATTACTTGCTCGAATGAGTTAAACTAATTAATTACAGTAATAAAACAGTGTGAAGTTAATAAAAGAAAAAGTTTAGATTAACGTCCCGATATCATAAAAGAGAAACTTTCCGTCTTTTGACATTCGTCGCGAGACTGACTTCTGTGTTACTAACGCGATTTTAAATCATTACCTTTAACTTACTTAACTAGGCTATGTTTCAGTCGCAATTTTTCTTAGTTGTTGATTCATTTGGAAACCACACTTCATAGTCTTAAAAACAATACGAAAAAGAGATAGAAAAAAATATTCGTTTATTATTATTAATTGTTCCTAAGTAATTATTTTAGAACTTGTTCACCTCGGTGTTCCCACCGCTCGTTTGCCCCCTTCTCTTATAAAAATATATTTTAACTATGACATATCTAAATATAAGCTCTAACATTCAAAAATTTCACAAAAGAAATAAACTGCAAATAATTTGATAAATACGTAAATTTTAACAAAACTAAAACAGCATATCACACAAATGATTGTAAATCTCCTCGTCTTACAAAGACCTAGGTAAATAAATAGAATTAGCCATGGATAAGATCATATTGAGAAAGCTATCGAGTATTTTTGATCATATCAAAAAGGAACAATTATGAGTTTTTTTTTTACCACTGATTATACGGCAATTGAATACTGGCAGTTAAGAAAATGTAATTTTCAATAAAATATGTGTTAAATAATTTTATGCAGGAATGTATTTATAAGTTTAGCTTACTTATGCGTTATATTAAATGCATATTGATTTGTAAACGTACGAGCAATCTAATAACGCTGTGTAAGTTGCTTTAACGTTACTCAACTTTTAGTCACATTTTATAACCTACTCTTATTTCGTAAAAAAATCGTGGTTACCAATATCGTTAATAATTATATAATATTATTAATGAAACTACAGAATACAAAAATTTTAAAGATCTCCATTGTCTCTACGGAGTCCGTAGACATCAGTAGCTACTTATGTAAATTCAATAAACAATTAGTTCCGATGATTAATGCAGATCAAACAATTAATGCAATTAAATATGAAGGTAGTTTAGAAAATAACATTAATATCAAATAAACAATAGCGTAGTTACATCATATACTAGCTTCATTATCGATGCAAAAAACTACAATATGAACACTGAGACGAACATCAATCGATCGGTTCCTACGTGCTGCACAGAAGTTAAGGGTATTGCCACACAAATGCTGGATTCATTTTCGACGTAAACACAAAGCACAGCGTTCTTACGGGCTGCGGCCGCGCAACGACCGACGACGACCTCCTTTCTCCGACCAGTTGCACTGGCGCAACGAAACAAACAAAATAACTAGACGAAGAAGAACGCGTAGTGTGCGCGTGCGACTTTCACTGAGGTGCGCATGCGCGTTGCGTACGGGCGTGGCGCGCGCCGCGGTGCTGGCTACTGACTGAGCGCGTTCGCCGTTGTCGCCGCCGCCGTGGTGGGGCTGAGTGGATGCGCCACTCACCTAATAACACTATCTGAAACTCACCCCCTCAATGCCCGCATAAATCATCTCGTAGCCTGCGTCTTTCACGCGCAATTTATATGACTCACAAGAGTTCAAATATTGCAAATTATAAATAAATTGTGCAACTAAATTGATATGAATATCTCATTTCTTAATTTGACAATTATTTAAATAATACACTGGCTATTTTTAAGTTGCTTTCAAACTATCGTTAAGGATTTAACAATTAAATAACAAACAAATATTTCTAAATAATTAAATTCTTGCCACCCTCTCACAGCCTTTCAGTAAATAACGCCCGTTAAAATATAAAAGTTTGATAAAAAAAATAGTAAACATTAATATCAAAAGCATTCAGGTAACAAAGACGGACGGAAATAAACTTGGTAACTTGATTAAAACGCCTACACAAGTCTCAGTATTGTGTTCAAACGTCAGCCTCCATTAACGTAGGTGGCACAAATAAAATGCTAGTGAGAGCTAAAGTCACACCGTCAAGTATATAATGCCTACTCATTATTTATATTTGCATTATTACATTACAATACCTACGTTAAAGAATAAAAGAAAACGTAGACATAACAAAACTATCGTGTGAAATATAAAGGATAGCAAATTACAGTAATCAATCGGTAAGTTATCATTTTTCAATTAATTAATTAATTAATTAATTAATTAATTAATTAATTCAGTTTTAAACAAAACTTTGCAATTAATTAATTGAAACGTTTTGTTTACATTCAAACAACTAACTTGTGCAAATATACGTTGAAATACAAATTCCCAAAAGATTCAACTTAAACAGAGCAAGACAATGTTCATTAAATTTTAGAAGTATAATTAAAAACAAAATCACATACAATTGTAAGAAATTTCTATAGTGAACTTACGAATAATAGGGCGTCTTAAACACGCCACATTGTACTTATTAAGTAATCCATGTTCCACATTTGGTTTACATTTTATTTCTTATAATTAACATATTCTTTAACATCATGAATAGTTCAAGGGATAAAATTATTCAATCAAAATATGCGTTACTACAACAAAAATTGAATTCAAGAATTACTTATGTATTACTTATCTTACTAATATTAATAATGCGAATGTTTGGATGGATAGACAGGATAGATGTTTGTTAGAAGGTGTCTCAAGAACGGATGCATGGATCTCCTAGAAATTTGGCATAGATATAGAACTTATAGGTTATTTATTAAGTTTTCTTTTAATTCCTCGGACGGAGTCGCGAGCGATCGCTAGTCTGTAATAATCTTCTATATTATCTTCCATACAAACTAGTAAGCCAATGAAACATCCAAAACAACTACGCTGTTAATATCACAACGAGACGATAACATTACAATAGCTAAAATAGAATAGATAAATTTTGTCTTATTTAAATTGGCTTTTTTTATTCCATACACGAGGAACGATTGGTAACGAGCTATCGATTCAACAATGAGATTGTCTATGAATTATAGATAAAGAATGGCCATGAGCATAAGTAGGTGCTCTTGATTATCAAATAAACTGACATACAAATAATTCTGACATGCGAAGTAGGACAAATCAACTACGCGAGAATATAAAATATCAAAACGTATTTTATTAAAATTGTCGTTTATGGTTAAGCTAAGCAAAATACATATCTGAATTCACATTATATTATAATAAATGCATCGATCCTAATGATAGAAATTTGAAAAGGTATACAAATTTTGGATTCGCCTTTATAAACAGTAATGTCTCTCAAACTGATCGACTATAAATAATGCGATTGAGTTTTCCTTAATAATTTTCATTGCCTATAAATAAAGGGGTAAATATGAAGAAATATTCATTAATGTTAGCCATCAAAAAATAAAGGGGTAATACATAGATTATTTCTTTCGTTTACCGTCACCCAGACTAGCTGTCGCCCGCGACTATGTCCGCACGGAGTTAAAAAACACTTAATTAGTAGCCTATGTGTTCTTCCAGACTATGTTCTACATCCAAACGTTCGCATTTATAATATTGGTTAGAAATAAGATTTATTAAAGTACTTCCAACTTTTGAAATCAAATCTGAGAACGTAATTCATATGGCTATTCTAATGACAAATTGGCGAAGCATCCTAAACCTAATATACCGCTTCTATTATCAATTATCGAATAGCATTTATCAATTAACGTCATTTTAATCGCTTTAGTGCAATTGTATGCATCAGTGGATATGAATAATGTATTCCGCCTGAACATCCATACATACGCCTATATAAATGGCGAGACAAGGTCATATTGGTTCTCTACACCAATGTTATTGAGTGTGTTGCTGGCCATCTTTTCGAGTTTTTTTAACTTTCCATCATCCTGTAGATAAAGGAAGTACAACTATATGGCATAATAGATCATTTAAATTTATATTACGTTAAGAAATATGATATAATAAAATATTAATTAAATATTAAACGATGTACCCCATAAACCGCGAAGGCAGTTATTATGTCGTGCTGCCGCCTGTTTATCGTCGCTGTGATCCGCCGATGGTACCACAAAGATTATTATTATTAAACGTCGCCTTCCATATTCATCTCGCTTTATTAACTTTCACACGAGGGCACCACACTGACATAGAACAGTATTTTTTTATAAGAGAGAACAAATGAGCTGCAGGAATACCAAGGTGTTCAAGGCCACCCACGGACATCTGCAACACCAGAGGAACTGCAGATGCGTTGCCGGCTTTTAAGGAAATGGTATACCACGCGGCTGTGCGAGGCAAGAAACAGCGGGAGAATCGCACCGTTGCGGAATGCCAGCCAGGTGTGGATGGATCCAAGCGGTCTGTCGTTTTCATTGTGTAATTCCATTATTTTGACGAACAACACTGAGTCACTGCTACTCTGTCTTCCTATAGCCCTCGTGTGAAAAAGCTGGTTGCGCCCGTACATTGTGAGTTTCGACTGTAACCAATCAATAGCATTACACAACACATGCCCTTTTTGCATGATCTTGACATTTCTCTTGATCATTGTGATGTAAGTTCGTTTTATTCATTCATGTATTCAGACATTTATTGGCGACACTGAATCGAAAATCGTTTTAAACTCGTCACGCCTGCCTTTTTGCTTCGCTTTTCTTCCCTCGTTAAGTTAATTCTGAGGAAATAACTCTTGCATTTTTAAACGCATTGTTATTACAAAATTAACACTATTTAAAATAAAAAGTATTATTAGTATTAGTAACTATTTAATATAAAAACGAAATTATTTCAATATAAATTAAATCAAGACATTAACACTGTAAACGCCCATCACGCGGTTTGAATCTGTGCAAGCCCAATATAGCTAACATTACCGCTCAAGAAAAGTATGCGTAAGGCATTTCCCCGCGTAAAAAAAATGTCCAAACATTATATTCAATTGAAAAAGCAAATGACGTAGATAAGTACAATCACACTCACTATAAACAAAGGAAATTCCTTTGTCTTTGTATTTATTAGCGTATCCAGTGATTGGAATTGTAACACAATATCGTGATTAAAACGGTATTCCCGCTTTAGCCCCTCCTTACAATCATCTAAATATTTAAAACTCGTATTTTCTTGATAAAATCATCGAAGTGTGGGGTATTTCCTTGTAAGACATTGAAACGTGCAGACGTCACGTCACTAACAAAAGTTCACGTCCGTCACAGAATGAGTAACGGTAGGTCGTTACTTACCATGGAATGAAAGTGTTCGCAACGGTACCATGATCGTAACTAAAACATCGAATGATTGAGGTCACTAAACTGCAGCGAAATACTACTACTAAATACTTAAAGATTCTAACGTGTATATAAGACAAATTTTGTAATATTCGATCCTCAAACATTAAAGGCATAGCACTATTGATGCATAATATTTATCCAGTTTTCTAAAATTATTTGTTTAAATTAATTAAATACTTATTAGTCATTAAAACTATAGGTTCACTTGATAATCGCTTTTAATATATTTTCGTATCTATGTATATAAAATCAATTGCTGTTTCTTAATCTCGCTAAAACTCGAGAACAGCTGAACGGATTTATCTTATCTTAGTCTTGAAATGTTCGTGAAGGTCTTGGGAAAGTTTAAAAGGTGAGAAAAATTCGAATAATTGCCGGAAACTAATAAAGTTTTTCTTATTCCACGCCGACGAAGTCGCGGTCGACTGCTAGTTATTTTATTTGATGAAATACTGTTAAAAATAACTCGTAAACAAAATGTGGGCTAAACAATTTTCAGTGTCCGAGTTAAACACATGACGAAGTGACAATTGGTGGCTATTATGAGACGTTTTATAGCACAAAAACAAACGTTCGTTATACGTATAATCTGCGGAGATTTGGTACGGAGCCATAGAATAGTGGAGCGCGGATTTATCGTGGATTACGTTCTACCCGTTCCCTAATTAGTGCGAAGTGTCGACGCCGCTCATCACAACTCGAAGCATTTTGGCCGAGCCTCAAAAAGGTCAATGCTTGCTTTTATAATTACTAATACTGATGTTTACTACATTTAACAATGTATTTCTATTTTTAATACAGATTTAAACGAACATGACATTGTTGATCACTTGGCAATTAATTTTAAATTAATTGTCGTACATTTTAATAGGGCTTTTGTGCTAAATAAACAATATTGTTAAGAAAAATATAGAGCATCATTAATAAAGTGTTATAAAGATGTATGGAGAGTGCTTTGTAAATAGTAAGCAATTTTAGTAAGAGAAGTCAATAACGTAGTTATCCTGATAAGTGACGTATAAAAGAAAGGCAATATCAATAGTTCCAGCAACCGATGACCATAAACGCATATGTACTTGACCTTTTGTGTACTGGCAACTTTAATACAGCGTGCAATAGGCAAGCATTCTTATGATTAATGATTATAAAGAGGTGTGGCGACGGTATCAAGTAACTAAATATTTTGAAACAATAATTATA